TGGTTCTATCTTTCAGGGTTTTCTGTAAAGAAAACGGGCAATTTTGCATAAAGAAAACATTTTTTTTGAAAACATGTGTTCGTCTAGTCAGAGGTTGAATAAACAAATATGAGGTCATCATATTTGTCTGTTCATCAGAACAGATATGAGGCTTCATCAGAGCAGATGAATATTATGTAATCATATTCATTGTTCTAATGAACAAATGAATATTTTGTACTATATTCGTTTGTTTTGAACAGACGAATATCTAACTTCTATCTATGTTTCCTTTGTCTACATCCCCCTTTAAACAAACGAAAAAAGGTCTCCAGAACAGATGAAAATGATCTTTTTTTAATAGTGTTACTAATCCCAATAAATAATAATTAAAAAAAGCAATGAAACAAATTATTTAAAAAGAGGATGAATTGAGAATAAGAGAGAAAAGGAAAAGATAATTAGTTATGAGAATAAACCCATCACTTAAAACATTGGGATTCAGGATTCACCATATAGGTAGCTAATTTCTATCCTTTGACTTGATTTTTATTAGTGATAGCTATTCCTAAAGTGTCATAATATTTTTCTCACTTATTAGTCCTTTTTAATTAGTGTTGAATTCATTCCCACAATACAGAAATAACTAATTAAACCATGAAGTTATATATAGTATAAGTCATCACAAATATCTAGAACTATCTTTAACCTAAATACTTGTGTCCATATCTCTAGATCTAGGTTCTACCTTCACCTGCCAATCTATTAAGATTACCTACGGATTTTATGTAATGGTCAATCATAAAATCAACATGAAAAACAAGAGAAATAGATATAATTGAAAAAACTAAAATATGTTCATAAATAGAAACTTCACAAAAGAGTCAAACCAAAATAATAGAAACTAGGGTTTCAGTGGGCTACATCTCTACCCCAACTGAAATTTAGAATCTCATAAATAAAATCATAAATATCACCTTTCTAAGATCTCCAACTATAATAAACAAAATAAACAAGAAACTAAAGAGAAGATAAACTCCCTATTAATCTTACCCTTGATAGCTTTGAGTTGTGACTGGATACCTCTGGAGTGACCTCTAAAACCTCTATTTATATCTAAAGTTTTCTTGCTCTTCCTATTATTTATATTAATTATTTATTTTAATATTCAATATTTTTATTTTTTATTTTTCAAATCATCATCTCTCTCCATCACACATTTTCTCTCTTTCATAATTCTCATTATTATAATAATTTTCTTATTCTCTTTCTTATACTTTTTATCCCCCATAAATAAGGGTATTTTGAAGAAAAAACTTCTAATTTTTATCTATTAATTATTTTTAACTAATTTTTTAATCTACATAATGAAATCTTATGTTGCTTATAATAAGACGGGGAGTATATTTAACAGCAAGTCACCTTCAAAACACGTTGCTGTTGATTTTCTCATATTTTACCGAAAATTACGCTTAAATACCCTCTCTCCTTCAGCGAATACTGTGATCAAGCCCCAAACTCATCTCCAGCGTCCTGATTTCGCCACGTGTCACACCGTTATGATGCGGAGAAAGTCACAGCTAATGACCCCAAATCTTCATCTCCACTCCGGCAGTCTCCTGCCTGTAATCTTTGGAGACACTTACTGCTACTAACCCCATTCTTTAAAATCTCTTATTTTATTTTACATTTTCTGCAAAATAGAAAAGATATGAGGACTTTTGTGAAAAAATATCTTTTTATCTTTATAATTAGATTTAGAAGGGAAATATATAAAATAAATTAAATAGATATAAAATGTTTGTAAATTCAATATAATATCAACAAAAATTTATGTCTTTTTAATCATAAAATCTGCACTTATCAAATTCTCTAACACTTAAATTTTTGCACTCTTGGGCAAAAATAAATCTTGAAAATGAATAGACAAATTGAATTAACTAAGAAATTGCAAAAACTCAAATAAATACAGCTCGGGAGCCAAGTGTGTAATCTAGGTCATCAATCATATATAAAAAAATCCATATTAACATGTAAAGCTTAGCAAGAGTGAATCCAAGAGAGATAGCTACAAATGAATATGAAGCGTACCACTCAACATATAGGTTGTTTTTTTCGCTCAGTTCACTTGCTCAGTCACTCTACGATAGACTTAAAGTAGTTCTAATTCTCTAGCACCAATTGCTTGTGCATTCAAAAATCAAAAGTCTTTGAGGATTGTAAGTCTCAAGAATGCATCAAAAGGGTGGGTAGTAATGTAAACTAAATTGGAGCGTAAAAGTATGAGCAATGTTTAATGTTGAGTGAGTCCCTTAAGTGAATGTGACGCAAGGGCCCTTTTTTCTCTTTTCTCTTTTCTCTTTTGTATTTTTTCTTCCAACTTTCTTAGCCTGTTATGAAAATTCCGGTTACTATGGGTGATGACAGAACGGTTTTTGGTTAGTCTAATCGCTGTGTGGTGGTTACACTACCAACCCTTTACACGCTTTCATTCTCATCAAATGTTCTGTCGGCCGTCATCAAGTCAAAAAGCTGGCTTTGTTCCCCACAATTATGTCTATAAATTATATGAACTATCCATTTTAAGAATCGATTCAACAATCTCGAAAATTGGTCTTTTCTTGTATGGATTTAAATATTATATATCTATCTACTTTTGGAATGTACGTGGGGTCGATTCTTTCGTTTACGTAACCATTTCAAATATGAAAATGAAGAGGTAACGCCATTTTCTTCTGATGTTACGTTCTAAAAATTTTATATTTTAAAACTTTGTCCCACAGAACTCAAAAGACTTAATGAACATGAGGTGTTCATTTAAGATCTATACAGTCTTTTGAAATCCAGGTGTCCAAATTTTACTTTATGCAAGTAAAATATAAGATAAAGATTACCTTTAGACAATAAAATTGCGTTTTTAACAATCTAATATCTGGATGGTTCAAATTTCATTTTTAAGGATAAATATTCAATCTAAATCCTTAGATTTTCATTGTTCCCATACACTCGTTGAGATTTGAAAAGATAATACTGCATTGAATTCTATATTTTTTTTTCGTTTTCCTATGTAAAAAGTAATTCAGAGTTTTGCATAAATTAATCTGGAATAGTCACATAAAGCTAAACAAAAATCTATATGAAACCCTTTTCATCCTTGCAATCTGCTTAGTTGGAGAGGGAGATATCAGATATACACAATAGCAAGCCTATCAATGTATTTGGAAAACGAAAATTAACCCCGTAAATTATAGCAAAAATATGAAATACAAAAATTACAGTAATAATTATATAATTAAATTAACCCCCAAATTTAGAAATATAAACATATAATTTATTTTACATAATTATCCTATCAATATAAAATGATAAATAAAAAAATTGGGAAAAATATCAAGCATAAAATCAAGTTCCTAGAGTAAAATAAGGATATGCTTAAGTTAATTACAAAACTAACCCTGTGGGTTGGCAAGTTAGCCAGCTGCAAGTATGAGTTATGGTAGGTTGGGTTGGCAAAATGCCAACCCGAAGTCCACTGCTTTTTGATAGGTTAGGCTCACATATTCAGCTTATATTATTGCTCTAATTTGTCTAACGTAGGATTATGTGTTTTTAGTGCTCAAGGATTGATGAAGTGTGTCTTGTGAAGTTTGATAAATGAACAACGTTGTTTATAACTAGTTTATAAATAGCGTGACTGATTACGGTTATACTTTCAAATTATACATACATGTTAGGATGTGGCCAAAAATTCGTGAAATTTCTTTTCAAGTCCATCACAACAAGTGCTTAGCCCATGACGGAACTTTCTGGGCTTACCGCCCAATTATAAAGTTATGTTCACTTGTATTAAGTATTGTAATGTTTTGCTTTACTTTGGTTTGGGCCTAGGAATTGTTTAGTTGAGCCCATCTGATGCGGTGGCCTACATATAGACAGGCCCTGTTGTTTCAAACACAATTTTTTCAGTCAATAACAAAGATGAATTCATGTTACCAAAAAAACCAAAGATGAATTCAATATGCTGCGTGTATTTCTGCTTGCTATTATGGCATCAGAGCCCAGGTCTGTCAAGATCCATTAACACTGTATGAGAAGGGCCCAATAATTGAAACCCGTCTTCTTCTGGACCTGTCCTCTCTGGCTAAGATTCAAGAATGAACTGGTAAGCCATTGACGAAGACACCCACACAATCTTTCACTCATCCCTGATCCAAGACGCATATTCCGATTACAGTCCCGTGAGTTCTGGATTGACGATGATGAGAACCATGGGATAGGAGAAGGGTTCCGATGATGGAGCAATTGACTTCGCGAACTCGCTTTATCTCCATCCTTTAGATACACGGGGTGCGTTGATCATCACCCAGGATTGATAGGAAGCAAAAATTACACAATCTGGAGCAAGACGATGTTAATTGCACTTTGAGGGAAGAACAAGATCGGCTTCACAGATGGATTGTACAAGAAGACTGAACAAGATTCCACCTCAAAGAACACTGAGAGCAGTGCAATACGGTGCTATTATCTTGGATTTTAAATTCAGTTTCTTAGGACCTTGAGAACAGTCTCATATATCTACAAGATGCACGCACAGCCTGGGAAAGACCTGCGAGAACGATTCGACAAGGTCTCTGGGTCCAGGATATTTTCTTTGCACCATGAGATTCATTCCTTTTGTCAAGGTGATCTCTCAGTCTCTGCATATTAGTCGCTCCTCAATGAGCTATGGGAAGAGCAAAGCAACGTCATGGCAATTCCTTCTTGTACATGCGTCACTTCTAAGTTGTATAATGAAGCAATGCAATGGCAAAAATTGTTACAATTTCTGATGGGCCTGAATGAGGTTTATGAGAATGCAAGGAGTCAGATACTCCTAATGGATCCCCTTCCGTCTGTCAACCAATCCTATGCAATGATTCTTGAAGTGGAGTCTCAGAAGAACATTGCAAATATGGAGAGAGGTAAGCCCACAGAGGGAATGGCAATGATAATCAAAGGTAGAGGAAGAGGGACAGGAAGGAACCCCTCCACCAAAATGTGACCACTGTCACAAGAAGGGTCACATTAAAGAAAATTGCTAGGAGATAGTAGGATTCCCAGCTAACTTTAAAGGATTTAAAGGAAAGCATAATTCAGAAGCCAAAGGAAGACAGAATGTAGTAAATCAGGAGGCAGAGGCCCTCACAAATGTGTCAATGTTTTCCCCGGCTTCACACCTGAACATTGCTCGAACTACTGAAGAAAGATTCCCCCACTGATGCACATGCACTCAGTGGTACATGTTTGCCTATTCTCGTCTCCTTTAATCTAAATCATAGGAAATGGGTTTTAGATTCAGGAGCCACTACTCACATGCTTAGTGATTTAATGTTACTGGATAATTATAGAACTTATAATAGACCAATTAAAAACATAAAAATCCTGAATGGAGATAGATTTTCTGTAACCCACATAGGTGATGTTAAGTTTCCTAATGGAATTGAATTAAAAGATGTTTTGTATGCTGCAGAACTCCAGTTTAATTTGATTTTGGTTTCCAGAATTACCAAAGAATTGTTTTGTGTTGTCTTTTTACCCTGATAAAATGCATATTGCAGGACCTTCAGGATGGAAGGATGAGGGGGTTGGTAGAGTAGTTCATGGACTATATTTGTTGGAATTAGAGAAAGATTATACTTGTGAAAATTCTACTCGTAATGTTTGTTGCTCTGCTACACATATTGATCTGTGGCTTTTACATAAGTGATTAGGACATTCTCCTATGCATGTAATGAGACATTTAGCTATTGTCAAAGACAAGTCAATGAATTTGAATAAAGGATGTGATATTTGCTTTCAGTGCAAACAAACTAAACTTCCCTTTCCTTCTAGTTGCATTGAGACTGACAGATGTTTTGATCTATTACATATGGATGTGTAGGGACCCTACAAAGTACCTAAACATTCAGGTTTTTAGTATTTCCTCACTAGTGTGGATGATTTCTCAAGGGTTACGTGGACCTTTCTTATGAAACACAAGTTAGAAACTATGTACCATGTTAAAAGTTTCTTTGCATATGTCTTGAATCAATTTGATGCTTCTATTAAGAGGGTAAGGAGTGATAATGGGACTGAATTTGTTAACCTTGAATTAAGAGAATTCTTTAGGGAGAAAGGAGTCATACATGAAACTACTTGCCCTTATACTCCTAAACAGAACAGTATTGTAGAAAGAAAGCACAGAACCTTAATGCAAGTTTCTATCAGGAATTCTGATTAGATATTGGGGAGAATGTGTGAAAATGGTCACCTATCTTATTAACAGAACTCCCATTAGAGTCTTGAATTTTAAAACCCCATATCAAATTATTCATGGTCATCTACCTAATTGTGAGAATTTGAAAGTTTTTGGTTGTTTAGGATATGCTACAGATCTTGTTAACACAGATAAGCTCTAACCTAAATCAATACCTTGTATTTTTTTAGGTTATCCTAACAATAAAAAGGGTTTCACCATATTAAGTCTCAAAGACAATAGAATTTTCATTAATAGACATGTGAGATTCCTTAAAGATGTTTTTCCTTTTAAAAATGGGAGTGGTATTGATCAAGGGGGAGTATCTATTGATCTCAAACAAATGTTTTATTTTGATGACCATAATGATACATCTATACAAATTCCATAGATTATAAGGGAGCCTCACCAAGAAGAACATCACATTGTAGAAAATGCTGTTTCTGATCCTAATAACCTGAACACTAATGATCAATGCTTAGGGAATGAAAATAGAGATCCAGTTCAACTTAGTAAACATTCCATTAGGGAAAGGAGGCCACCTATATGGGCTAAAGATTATGTTTGTAATTTGACTCAATCAAATTTTACAGATAAGAAATCTGGTTACAAATATCCCATTGAAAAATATATATCTTGTGATAATATTTCTGCCTCATACATGTGCTATCTTTGTTCTATTGATGCTGTTACTGAGCCTACTTATTCTGATGATGCTGTAACTGATCATAACTGGGTTAATGCTATGAAAACCAAAATTGATGCATTAGAAGAAAATAAAACATGGGACATAGTTCCTTTGCCTAAGGGTAAGAAACTAATTGGATGTAAATAGGTTTATAAGGTGAAATATAAACATAATGGAACCATTGACAAGTATAAGGCTAGATTGGTAGCTAAAGGATATAACCAAACCGAGGGAGCGGATTATAATGAGACCTTTTCTCTAGGGGTAAAGATGGTCACTATTAGAATTGTTTTAAAGTTAGTTGCTATAAACAATTGGTCCTTGTATCAAATGGATGTGAATAACACTTCCCTGCAAGGAGATCTTGATGAAGAGTTTTACATGACCATACCCTAAGGTTTTAGGAATCAAGGGGGTACAAGCCTCAAGGCAATGGAACCAAAAGTTGTCACTGTCCTTGCTTAATAGGGGGTTTTCTACAGAGTAAGTATGATTACTCCTTGTATATGAAACATTATGATGATGGTTTTGTGATTATTCTGGTATATGTAGATGATTTGTTAATCACTGGGAATTCTGAGCAAAGGATTAATCAAGTAAAAGAATTTTTACATAGTCATTTCAAAATTAAAGATTTAGGTGTCATGAAATACTTCTTGGGCATTGAAGTAGCAAGGTCCAAGAAGGATATTTTGCTGTCTCAACGAAAATATATACTAGATCTCCTTGCTGAAATAGGAATGAGTGGTTGTAAACCACTCACTTTGCCAATGCCACAGCATTTAAAGTTAGTGGCTTATGAAGAAAGGAAACACCGGAAGGAAGATATGCTCAATGAACCAAGGAAGTATAGGAGGCTAATAGGAAAATTGATTTATTTAACCATGACAAGGCTTGATATTTCTTTTCCTGTGCAGGTTTTGAGTCAGTTCATGCAACAGCCAATGAAATCACACTAGGTAGTAGCTGTGGGGGTCCTAAGATATCTAAAACAATCACCAGGACTTGGGATTAAGCTAAGCTTAATGGGGACCTGAACTTAAAATGCTTCTGTGATTTAGATTGACAATCGTGCGAGACCACGTGTAGGTCAGTCACTGGTTATCTTCTCAAATTAGGAGATACCCTTATTATCTGGAAAACAAAGAAGCAGGCGACAGTCTCAAGGTCTTTGGCTGAAGTTGAATATAGGGCTCTTGGTTCAGCTATGTCAGAAGTCATTTGGGTTAAAGGTCTGTTATCTGATTTAAGGATTCCTATAGAAGGTCCAGTGGATGTATATTGTGACAGCAAATCAGCCATCCACATTGCCACAGATCCAGTATTTCATGAGAGGACAAAACATATTGAAATAGATTGCCACTTTGTTCAAGAGAAAGTGACAGAAGGAATAGTGAAGTTTCAGTATGTGTTTTCTACCAATCAGGAGGCAGATATATTAACAAAGCCAGTAGGAAAAGAGACTCAGTTACGGTTGCTTAGCAAGTTAGGAGCTTCCAATTTATTCAGCCCCAAACTTGAGAGGGAGTATTGAGTTATTGTAATGTTTTGCTTTACTTTGGTTTGGGCCTAGGAATTGTTTAGTTGAGCCCATCTAGTGCATTGGCCTATATATAGACAGGCCCTGTTGTTTCAAACACAATTTTTTCAGTCAATAACAAAGATGAATTTAGTATGTTGCGTGTATTTCTGATTGCTATTAACTTGTCTCATGTACAAGTACAACAACAAGCTACGAACAGGGTTGAATTTAGAGAAATGAGCTAATCCTTCAAAACGTAATGAGCTAAGGTTTGAATTCTCACTAGGAGAAGCACTTATATTAATGCTCAACAATCCCTCGAATAAAATTTCCTTAATTAGGAGGATGTGCTTAGTTTAAAAAAAAAGAAAGAAAGAAAGATATAAGTTGGGATGTGCCTCAAATAGGATTGTTTCAAATAGAAAGATACCAGTGCCTAGGAAAAAATGTTTGTGATGTGTGAACATACCTTTTTTTGGGGTATATTGGTATATGGAAAAAAAACATAGTATCAATCGTAAAAATAATGTTGCTTTGTACCAATATCTTGAAAGATGGTAATAAAAAGACGAAATTGGTCAAATTACTTGTGGATTTATCGAACTTTATAAAACTTTTCTGGTTTAACGGATCAATAGATTAATTAACAACGATGATAAGCCTGATCAGAAGTGATATTGGAGGCCTGTTCCTAAAATAATAGGTTTTAGAGAGGTTTTAATTGTTTTTTTTTTTTTAGTGAAAGGAGAATATATTAAACAATTATGTACAGAGAATTACAAAAGCCACAATCTAACCCGCCCGATCAATAGCTCGAAGAAGGTCCCCAGCGTTTATGGTGTGCGTTACAATAGTACAAACAGCAAAAATAATGTTCTCGGAGGTGAGAGAATCATTAAGAAAAATACACTTGTCTCTATTATCCCAAAGTTTCCAACAGAGTGTTCCAAAAGAGGTGTTGATCGATGCGAGCACCAATTTGTCTTTTTTTAGTTAATATTAAAAATACAGAGAGAAGTCCTTTTTTTTTTAATTAAACCAAGCGATTCTAACATTGGTCGTTAAATTATTCATATTTTTTACTTTAATAATAAAATTTCCAGTATATTATTTATTTTTTGGAACTATGAAATTCATTAGGGAAAATCACAATAAAATGATACTTGAATTTTGAAAACCTCAAATAGTCATCTCAATAAGAGAAATTCCATTTGAGTCACACATGATCAAATAAGAATTTTGAAATTTGCTGAAATGACACATTGCTCTTATATCATTCGTGCTTATTCTATGAAAATGTTTTGAATATAGGCTGTTAATTGCATTAGCAAACTTGTTAATACTGTTATGTGAATTGTCAACCACATTATAGAAGTTGAAAAATTCTTAATATATTATGAACTCAGAAATCTCTCAAAGTCAAACTACCTTATTTGGGTGAATAACGTTATTAGAATTATTAATATCATTACAAGAGCTGTTAACCGTGTTACTGAAGTAGAAAAAATCTCACTTTCATAATTTTCTCGAAAAATGGGTTATTAATTGCGTTGCCAAATTTGTTAATATTGTTGCATGACTTGCCAATCATATTATGAAAGTTAAAAATTTTCTAATTTATTATATACTCACTAATCTCTCAAAAACCATCGGGTAGGGGGTATTTATAACTGTTGTCACTAAGCAGGCGATGGTCTAACGCTGGGCATCAACATCAATCAAAGGGGGTGGGTCAAAGAGCATTTTTGTCATTTTATATGATAATGTAAATACAATACAGTCCCAAAGAGTATAAGAGTATTTTCATAAATTCATATGACTCTTTTTTTTTTTTTTTTTTCCAAACTAGGATGTTTATCTGTTTAAAGAAGGGGGACGGCATTCTGCTCACGCCCACGCACGGTAGCAGCTTGTAGAACAGAGGAAGAAGAAGAGGATTCAGTGAAGAGTCCGAGCTTAAGCCACAAGAGATCGAATAGGCGCACACCGGTAAGGGAAGGAAGGCATGTGACAGAACTGAACCAGAGAAGACGACCAAGATTCTCAGAGAAGCATCCAGAAATTTTTTTTTCCTCCCCCTCTCCAGAGCCTTCATTCGCCCAAGGAAAAGAAAATGAGAGCGGGAAAAAAATCTGATATATTTTTTATCTTACTTTATAAAATATTAATATATGTTTTTATGACTCAAAATATCTTAAGGTTAAAGCCTTCTCAACAAGTGCATTTTCCAGAATTCAAATTTATGTTTTATTTCTTATGGGGTGAGATCGCTTATCATCTCAACCAACAACTTGTTAGTAATGTTAATTTGATTTTTAATCCTCTATAATATCGTTAGTTTTAAATAATAATTTTTTAATAATTATTGTCATTTTACAAATTATATATTGTCAACATACATTTAATATATCAGCACTTAATAATATATTGTCAACATTTAAAATTTTATATCAACAGTTTTTGAATTAAAGAATTGAAAAAACATATAAATGAGGTTTAAAACCATAGCTAGGCTTAGAATGAAGACACTTTCACCAATCATGTTATTTATTATTTAAATATACATGTCTTGTGGAAAAGCCTTGCCAATTAGGTATTTCTCGAGTTAATGAATACAAAATTTAGGGCAGCGACAAAACATATGCCAGAATGGCAAGAATGTGATTATTAAATAACGTTTTTATGTATGGCGGGAAAAAAAAGTTTTAAGTATATTACTAACTGAGAAAAGCATTGCGCAATAGATGAATTTACGACTGAAAAGAGGTGAGCAGTGCACACGCGCGCGCACCTGACTTACATTAAATTGAAGTCCCTGTAAAATTCTTTTTCATCATCATAAGAAGAAATTTCTTAATTTTTGGGGAAAGAATAATGTTTCTTCCTTCCCTACCATTAATTTTGCCCATTGAAGGGAGCACTCTTTGAGAAGAGACCTTCTGCGTGCAACTGCAAAAGTCAATAATGAGTTGGGAAAATCACTTGACTGCCCAACTTAAGTAATAATGATCTTGTGTGATCCATATTTAAAATAAGGATTAATATGTAATTTTGTCCTAAAAATTTAAGTGTACAAAAGTTTTTGTTATATCAATATTGTTTCAGAAATGTTAAAAAATGAGTAACACCGCTCCCGCTTGTTAAAAATATTAACAATCAACATTAATTTTTTAATGATTAATGAAAACTTTTGGATATCTATAATTCCTATGCATAAATTTTCGAGGCAAAATTAGATGTTAACCCTTAAAATAACATTCTCCTTCCAATCTTAAATATAGGAATTAAATAACTAACTTGCAAAGATCTAGAAACTAACTAGTTAAATTAGTTAATTTTTTTAAAAAATGTGCATTAATTATTCTAAAATATCCTTTTTAGACATTTACACTGTAAATACTCCTTTAATTTGACGGAAAAGAATCCTTTCTCTCAATTTTTAATTTTGTATCTATATATTTTTTCTCTTTATTAAATCACCTTTAATAAAGAGCCACCACTGCCACCCTGAGGAGGAGCATGGTGAACAGCATTAAGACACAGCCAAGGTCAAACAAAAATTAAGAGCCCATTTAGCAACATATTTTGAGTTAAATATTTTTAAAAACAAAAAAATAGTAATTTGTTTGTAAAAACTAAAAACACAACAATTTTGGGATGTTTTCTAGTTTTGTTTTTGTATATCTTGAAAAATTGAGATCCTTGCACAACTTTTCTTCTCCGCTCGCTTGACGGCCGTTGGAGGGCATGAGTACTTGCCAATGCTCCACCCTCGTGCTCGCTGTCCCCTTACCGTCTAGTCTCAGTGTTCGGTGCTCACATCTTCTTCGCTCAGTGCTTGCCGTCTCCAATCTCTCCTTCCTCCCTCCTCAGTCCTCAGTCAGTAAGTCCTCAGTCTATACCTTCTAGCCATGACCGATTAACCTAGTCGGTTTTGAACTAAAATCTGATTTGTAGCATCTAGTGGGCTTTTGCGTATTCGATTTGGTGGGCAAGGGCAGCGGTGTTGGTAGTGCAGTTTGATAGAGCTAGAGAGATTAAAAAAAAAAAAATGAGAGAGCTTGTCTCCAGTTTGTGTCCAATTCAGGTATGGCTGTAACAGTGATATATCCTGCAAGCAAATTGATAATATGCGGAAGCTAGGGATACATATTTTGATGAAAGTTTCCAGTACTGCATTAAGCTCTCGTCATCATAGTACAACCATAGATGGAAAATATAACAAAAAGAAGAAGAAGCTAGCAGTCATGGATAATCACAGAAAAAGAAAGAAATCACAGTAAAGCAGAGAGAAAAAGACCAGGGGAAAGATTCTAACAAACTTCTGCATAACCAATCATTAGGACCTTCAGTACCTTTCTTGCTCTCATTCTCACCTGCTTTCCACGTGCTCTGACGTACATGAATGCTTCTTCTCACACGCCTACGAGACACTTGTTCTAGCACTAACACTTCATCTGGGCTTTCCTCATATGGGCCGTGATCTGGGCCATTTATGGCGTTTGTGACATTACCTCCCTCCATAGTCCATAAGCTGGATCTTGTCCTCAAGGTCAAAATCCAGGTATTCCTGGAGAAACATATCAGCATCTTCTCATGAAGGAGGTATAGCACTGTCCCAGTGCACGAGCAATTGAGTAGAGGAATGCCCTCTAAGCTGTACTTGGCGGGTATCCAAAATTTTGAGTGGCTTGAACAATGGTCCGGAATCAGTAGTTTGCAATGGCAAAGGCAGATATGTTTCACCAGGAGCTCCTTCACATTTCTTGAGAAAAGAAACATGAAAAATAGGATGAATCTTGGCAAAATCTGGAAGTTGCAACTTATAAGCCAGAGCCAATTTTAGCTATCACGAGGAAGGAACCAAAGTAACGTAAGCCCATCTTTTGAATTTTTTTTTTTTTTGGCAAAGAGACTGAAATCTGGCGATATGGTTGCAATTTGACATAAACTAAATCACCCACATCAAATTGCATGTCTTGTATTTTTCCGCCAGTATACTTTTTCATTCTTGCTTAGAGCTTAGCCAGTAGAACATCACGCTCAGAAAGCTGAATCACTGCTTTGGTTGGTGCATCTATAGGTTCAAATGCTTCAACTAAACCAGGTGGGTTGTGACCATAAATTGCCAAGAAAGGAGTCATACCAATAGA